GTAGAGCAACGATGTCAGTTAAAGTCTCGGCTACCAACTTCACTTGAGCTTGTATGCCCAATCAGCCAGCAAGATGTTATGATCACATGTGGAAGAGGCAGAATACTGATGTGCTTAAAATTAATGTTGATGCGGCCTTCCAGCACGAAACACACTCAGGTGCAACAGGAGCTATTACTCGTGATGGACGCGGGATTTTTATTGCTGCAGCAACATGTTTTTTCCCACAAGTGTGCAGTGTCAGCTCGACGGAGATGAAAATGATCAGGAATGGGCTATATCTAGCAGGAAGAATTGGATCCAACAAAGTGCTCATTAAGTCAAACTGCAGTTTCGTGCTGGATTCACTCAAGGCACCTGAAACCTATGTGGGCTCTGATGTGACGACAATACTTGAGTCGAAGCAGCTAGCTTTGGATTTTGCTAGCATTTCATATATGCACCGCCTTTGAGAAGCTAATGAGGTGGCTTACGAATTAGCAAAGAATTAATTTAGTGAAAAGTCTGCTATGTTTTGGGAAGCTATAATCCCTGAATTTATTTCTTGTTTCATTGTAGACGATATGTCCATTATTTAAGGAATAAAATTTTTGCTCTCAAAAAAATAGTTTAACCTAAAAAACACCTCATATTTAAGGGCACTGCCACACGTCCGCGGCTGGTCTTTTTAAAAGATCAGTTGGGCCGTGAGCCATCAGATCTGGCGTCTTCAAGTGGCTATCAACACCCTCGATCATTGCAACAAATGTAATGTTGTAGAAACCTTTGCAACGTAGGTTTTGTTGCAGAAACCTCTGCAATAGAGGTTATGTTGTAGAATATCTTTGCAACAAAAACCATGTTGAAGAAACGTTTTCAGATTTTTTTTGTTATGTTACTGTTTTTTTGCAACAAAGATCATGTTGCAGAAACGTCTACAATATTTTTTTTACAACAAAGGTCATGTTGCAGAAATTTTTTGTAACAGAAATTATGTTGCACGATATGTTGTTGCATCCCAGCTCGAGAAGGCGGTAGCCATGGACGCCGATGCTCCTCCAGGATGGTTGTGACGTGGAGCGACGAGCGAGAACAGACGCGACTTCAATGGCGGCGTGCCTAGCGGACGCGGGCGGTGCAGTCCGGTGGCCGTGCATGGCTTGTTACGCAGCACCAGAGTGGTCGACTTACAACATCTACAAACCAGCCGTTGGTGCATACTCGCAGCCGCTGTACCGGCCAGCGGCCATGGGGTGCTTCTCGTCACGGACGAGGTTAACACTTGGATTGAGAGATGCATCTGTATCAGCATGCAAGCTACCCTTTTCGTTTCTAAATATAAGTCATTTTAGAGATTACAATAGAGACTACATACGAATGTATATAGACATATTTTAAGGTGTATATTCATTCATTTTGTTTCGTATGTAATCTGTGTTGTAATATCTAAAAATACTTATATTTAGAAACCGAGGGAGGAGATGCAGAACAAGAATGAAGGTAAGAAGGAGGATCACACGGGACGCGTCGCGCGCGTCTAAGAGCATCTCCAATAGAAGATGCAAATTTGGAGATGTAAAATAGGAGATGTAAAAATTTACATCTACAAAAAGTGCTTTTTGCATCTCCAAAAAAGGACTAACTCCAACAGATGATGCAAAACGGAGATGTAAAAGTGCAACTCCAATAGGTGATGTAAACTGGAGATGCCAAACCGGCCGATGGCCGCGCGACCGCTGTAACTGCTGTTGAGCTGCTGTACAGCCGTTTTACAGCCGCTGTTCAGGCCCACAAATTGAAATAAAACATCTGATGATCAACTTAAAAATTGCACATGTCCACAATATCAAATTATTAAATTGTTCATCAAATCCACAAGATCAAATGTAACACACATAAAACATAGTTTTACACAATACAAAAAGAGATAAATGAAACTAGGCACCTCTCTCGCCATGATATTTCCAATACTCCTCCAACAAATCCTTCTAAAGTTGACCGTGTGCATCGGAGTCTCTAGTTTCATTGTACACCTTCATGAAGCGTTTGATTCACTCCTCTCTTCTTATGGGCATAACGCGTATACCCATCAAGTGATAGAAGGTGTAATCTAAATCCTGTCCACGCTCATTCTCAATGATCATGTTATGCATAATCACGCATGCAGTCATGATATACCAAAAGGGTTTCCTGATCCCAGAATCTAGAGGGTCCTCGCACAACAGCAAATTGGGATTGCAAAATCCCAAAAGCCCTCTCAACATCTTTCCTAGCTGCCGCTTGTGCATTGTGAAAGATGAGTTCTTTCTTGCCTTGGGGTTTTGCAATTGGCTTGACAAAAGTACTCCACCTAGGGTAGGTGCCATCCGCAAGATAGTACCGATAGTTATATGTGCGGCCATTTTCTTCGAAGGTCACCAGTGGTTCTTCTCCATTTGCTAATTTGGCAAAAAGAGTGACCAGTCGAGCACGTTAATGTCACTACAAGATCCAGGAATCCCAAAATATGAATGTCAAATCCATGTTTCTTGATCGGCAACAGCCTCAAGAATGATAATGTCATCCTTCCCACGACCCTTGAACTGTCCATGCCATGCTCTTGGGCAATTTTTCCACCTTCAATGCATGCAATCGACGAACCCTAGCATACTTGGAAACCCACGAGCTTTATTCATCTCCAACAGCCTCTGAGTGTCCTAAGCATTGTGAGCTCCCAAGTACTCTGCACCAAACACTCCTACAATAGCCTTTGCAAATTGTTTGACATAGAAGATAGAAGTGCTCTTTGCCATCGCCAAGTTGTCATCAATGTAGTCTGCAGGAACACCATAGGCTATCATGCGCAATGCGGCAGTGACCTTCTGTTTTGTGCTATGTCCAAGCAACCCTGCACAATTCCTCCTCTACTCGAAGGATTGATCATGTTGCTTCACAGAATTGCAAATGTGGATGAACAAGTCTTTGGAAATTCTGAACCGGCGTTGAAAGTACCTCTCCGAAAAAACGGGTGGTGAACCGAAGTAGTTGCGCATTAACCCGTTCTCTTTGAATGAACGCACGACTATACATGGAACCATCGTGCTTTGGCCTCTTCCCCTTGTGCATTGCCACTAGCATTGCAATGTCCTCTTCTTCGTTTAAATCAAATTCCTCATCCGACAAGGAATCGTCCACGAAAGAGGAGTCACACGAGCTCATCTACAATGCGGAAAATCACCATCAAACTACTTTCCATCCCCAACAAAAAACATCAAGTTTCATCATTTTTTACCTTCGGGAATTGTTGGGGATATAACCCCATGATATGACCCGCCATGACGAGCCGGGTCATTCAAGTGGTGACTTACAATCAAGACTCAAGATGGGCCAAGACATCCAATATCTCAAGACCTTCGGGACGATTCATAGAGTGGGCCGACTCGGGGCCCAACACTTGAAGACGACAGCTTCAGGCCCAGAAGTGCAAGTCGCCACCTAGAGTTTCCTTACTTGGAAGACAATACAAGTAGGAAACATACTGGGTTACGGATCGCAATACGACCCGGACTCTATTGTAAGCCCAGGGCCTCCACCTATATATAAAGGGGAGCCCCTGAGGCAGAGGGGGCCAAGTTACAATATCTCGAGTACTAGGTTAGCTAATACGCACCCTTGTAATCGAGATCATCATCATCAATATCAATCAAGCAGGAATAGGCTTTTACCTTCGCCGTGAGGGGGCGAACCTGGGTAAACCCTTGTCTCTCGATTCTGATTAACCCCGTTCAAGCAATCACTTACCGGCGATGGTCTCACGGCTAAGTCCTTTCACGAGGACATCTGCTGTGACAAAACCACGACAGGAATTTCGTCAAACACCTTGCTTGTGGGGTGGACGAAATCAGTCGGCTGCGGGTTGGTTAGCCGTCGGCGGCGGCAGGTGCGGGCGGCGGCGTCTGCACGATAGAAGAGATGGCCGCACGTTGATGGGAGCTCCGCGCGGCAAGCGGGCGGCTTCGCACGGCCGGAAAAAACGGCTGAGCCTCGCGGCCATCGGGCAGGCGGAGTGGCGTGCCTCCACTAACTCCGGCGGGGGGTCTAGGCTTGGATGAAGCCCGTAGACCTCACCGAGGAAGGCGTTCAGGCCAACCGCAGCCGCCGGAGAAGCTTCGATTCAGCGGCTCCTGGGCGGCGGGCCTGCGAGGCAGGCGGCGGGGGACGCGGGGGAGGAGGGAGTCGCGGCGGTCCCGGTGTCCGTCGGGCGAGGGGCGTCGGCGTCGATTTGGTGCGGAGTCGGGCCGGTGGCGGCTGGTCGCGCGGAAGGAAAAGGAATGACAGTTGGGCAGTTGGCGGGCTGCCGCGTTTTTACATCTCCTGTAGGTGGAGATGTAAATTTGCACCGCGAGGTGTTGTAGTTTACATCTATGGGAGACGGAGATGTATTTTTTTTGCATCTACACCATATATATTTTTTTTGGCATTTACACCATCTGTTAAAAGAAACCCAGATAATGTAGATGTAAAAAGTTACATATGCTGGAGAGGTGTTTTGGCCCTCGGAAATGCAGAAGTCAGGTATTTTTCATCTACATCTTGTATTGGATATGCTCTAACGCGATGGACGGTACGTTGTAATCTGCTGGTTGATGGAATCTTTTCCCTATATTTAAACGTCTCATATTTTCAGTATCCAGTTAAGTTAAACTAAATCTAATCAAAATGGGAGCTAGACTGTTTGGTTTATAAGTCTTAGGATTTTTTTAGTCCCAACTTATAAGTCTCAAGTCCCTAAAAAGTCCCTACCTGTTTGGTTCATGAGACTTATAAGTCCCTGTAAGACCATATTACAACTATAAGTCCCTATAAGTCCCTCATTGAGAGTCTTATTTCATAAGGGCCTGTTCGGATATCCACCTGCTCCCTGAAATTTCGGAATCTGCGAAGTACCTACATGCGCGCTCCACGATTTCTAACTGAAACTCCGCCCGCTCCGGGAGCAGCCTCGTGGAGCGGCGGGTCTCCGAACAGGCCCTAAATATCAAATGCCCACTTTAAGTCCCTATAAGTCCCTTCTGTTTGGTTTGGATGGGATTTATAGAGAAGTTTGGCCCGCGAGCAGTGCCCGGCGTATGCGGCTCAAGTCGCAAAGTCGTCGCCGTCACACATATCTGGCCCGACTGGTGGGGGGCGGTGCAAGTGCAACCGTGCGTGCGCTCCTGTATCCATCTGTCTGCGGGGACTCATCGTCTCCTCCTTCCCCAATCGCCATTGTCGGTGGTGCAAGCAAGCGCGCCGAGGCGTGTGGGAGGGACATGGCGGGGCGCTACGATGGCGGCAACCCTTTCGAGGAGGAGGAGGACGTGAACCCTTTCTCGGTAAGGGGCCAATCCCCTACCCACGCTAGGCCATCTCTCTCTTTATCCCATTCCGCCATTGCCCCCGATGCAGCGGATCTAAGCTTCCTTCTCGTCGCCGTGGGCGCGGCTAGGCGTTCGTTTGCGTTCGGATCTGACTAGAGGCAGATCTCATCTAATCTTTTCTCCTCTTCGTCCAATCTCGCCATCACCGACGCTTTTAGTTCTGGGGGATTCGCACTGGCCGATGAGGCATTGGTGCCAAAACCCTCCTGTATGCCCTCCTAACTGAAATTTGTGGGTGGTCTCTTGGCAGGAACAAACGCGAGGCAAAGCTGGCGGGCAGTCCAACTATGGTGGCGGCGGCGCGTTTTACATGCCGGTATGCCCTTCGGGGTTCTGCTCACCGTTACATTTGGGGTTAAATTTGCCCTTGAGTGCTGGCTGCTCACCACTGTCGTTCATTGATTTTAACTGTAATGTAGAATCCCAGAAACGTTGCCCCCTCCTCGAATTCGCGGCTTTCGCCCCTTCCCCCGGAACCTGCAGATTTCAGTGCCACAGTGGATATCCCTCTTGAGTCGTCAAAGGTATGTGTGGTTGTGCAGCTTAGTCTTTGCAGTTGCAAAATGCACCTATAAGAACTACAGCTAGAAGGAAAATGATACCCAGGGCTTTCAATTAATGTGTGCTTTCTGAATGCTCCAGGACCTGAAGAAAAGAGAAAAGGAGCTGCAAGCGAGGGAAGCAGAGTTGAATAAGAGGGAGAAGGTGGAATGCATATTTACACAGTTATACTACTCTTTAATTTGGCTATTCTATTACGATAACTCATTAACAGAGTTATTTGGGGCTTATGTTAGTTGATGTTAATAGCAGTCTTCAGTGTGAACTAATCTCATGAAGTTTATTTAGGATCATCTTGGGTTGATGACTATCTTTCAAATTCAGCTTTTTTTAGTGCACAGTGTATTCCTGGCACTATTTACATAATCGATCTGAGCCAAAAGTTTTATCAGGTTCTGATTCCCCCATATTAATTATATTTACTAGGAATTGAAAAGAAGGGAGGAAGCTGCAGCACGAGGTTAGTGTTTGTCTTTTCTTTCTGTCTTCCATAGATGATACATTAGAAGCAATTCGTCATAATTCTTTTCCTATTTTCTCTGGGCAAAATGAAAGAATAATACAGTAATGGACTTGTAAAACAACTAAACAAGTATCTGCTAAGCACCGGAAGTTCAGAATCTTGCTATAGCCAAGGTTTAAATTTGTACCTTTTGTTTCTATTTCGCACTTTCTCCTCTGCAAACAAAGCTATATATATGATAATTATGTTCAAAATCGAAATTGTAACAGGCAATGACACTTTAATATACAACAAGTATAACTACTGAGCATCATCAAGTTGTACATCTTGTAATTTATTATTTTTCTCAATGAAGAATCCATTCAAAGATTGTATTGTCACTTATTGTTTTCAACAGAAATTTCATTAATTATGTTGTTCACGAGTAGCTAAACTTCTGATCCCTTATTCTCTTTGATATTATTTTATAGCTGGTATTGTCATCGAGGAAAAAAACTGGCCTCCTTTTCTGCCACTTATCCACCATGACATTGCCAATGAGATACCGACTCATCTTCAAAGAATGCAATACTTCGCATTTGCGTCATTTCTTGGTACGCTTCCTTTCAATTCTTGAAATATTCCTGAAGTTTGTTTATGAAATTTCTTCTTGTCTTTAAAATGGGTTGGTGGCCAAACATTTTCTCCATACCTTAGGGGATGTTATTTGTATTTCAAAAACCAAATGTTAAAAGCTTTTTTCTGTGGGATATGTGCTAAAGTTAATATTGGCAAATAATTTTGTTCAAACTTCACATCTTGTCGCCAAAATGATGTCACATACATTTCTTCAGCTGACAGCCACAGCATAGTCAAATAAATTGGCAGAGGAAATTATTAATGTCATTAATGTCTATATTTCAACATGCCTGCATTTATCAAGATTAGGATGTACGTTAATTTGATCTGTTAAAAGATTTTGAGAATGCCTTAATGGTTTTAGAAGTCTGCATTTTATTTTCAAGTTTTATGATGTGCTAAACTATACATTCCAATTCAAATATTTGTTCAGAGGTAGCACTGGATGGTAATATAAGAATAAACCCTCCTTCTTTGCATATCAGCAAAACTAAGAAAGCTTTCTCTGGCATTGAATAGGTTTAGTTTTCTGTCTCTTCTGGAATGTCATAGCAGTTACTTCAGCCTGGATCAAGGGGGAAGGTAATACTCAACCCCTTTTGCTGTTCCCTATGGCGTATGCATCTAAGGAATTATTTAATGCTTGAATAACAAATGGTTTATCCATGTCCAGGTGTGAAAATCTGGTTGCTAGCAATAATCTACTTCATCTCTGGGGTTCCTGGTGCATATGTGTTATGGTATCGCCCTCTTTATAATGCTATGAGGTATATATTTAAAAGCTTACTGTATTTTTTTGTACATCTCCTCATTTCTCCTGGATTTTCTTTCTCTGTCCTGGATTTTGCATATGTATAAATAAATGTTTCATGCAACTTGTGTTACAGGACTGACAGTGCGTTGAAGTTTGGATTGTTTTTCTTGCTCTACTTGGTTAGTTATACGAGTATATTACTCAAGAATGCCTTAGTTCTTCTGCATAATGTTTAATTGTTTGATAATTCAAAACCTACAAAAATACAGTACTTGAACGTTCTGTTTTTGCAGTTTCACATCGTTTTCGTCGTATTTGCTGCCGTGGCTCCTCCTGCTGTCTTTGAGGGCAAGTCTTTGGCGTAAGTCTCTTGTTTGCTTATATTTAGGCAATGACATTACAAGACTGGAACCAGTGACCTGTATAGTACTTGAATTCAATACAAATGGTTTTTGTTAAGATGGTATCGGCAAGACAGTTGCATGAATTGCATGTTTTTGTGCATTTTAATTCTAGCATATTTCAATCTGTAGATGAGCATCATAGAAGTCGGCTCGGGCGCACAGTTATTGCCTGATTTTGTATACCCATAGTTAGACCCATCTTAATTGAGTTACTGAACTCTATTTATCCTTAGAATTATATTGCTTCTATTCATCCTTCCATACGAAATTAAATGCTTCACTTTAAAATATGGCATCCCAAAATATTCCTTGGATATATGTTTGGAACTTCACCTTGGACTGAATTATATTTTTCTGCTTGTGTAGAGGAATTTTACCGGCGATTGATCTTATCAGCGTGAATGCTCTAGTTGGGGTAAGTACATGAACCTATGGTTAGCCAGCTAACATGATGTCTATCATATAGACATGGTGAATCACCAGTGTATTAGTCAGATTCCTGATGCCAAGGAGTTCTTTGTCTGGCCAAGTAATTGATGCAATTGTTGTGCAGATCTTCTACTTCATTGGTTTTGGATTATTTGCCCTGGAGTCATTGCTGAGCATCTGGGTTATCCAGGTCAGCATTCCGATGATCAACTGTTCTGTTTTACAACATACTATATTGAAAAGTGAAATGTGGCATTACATGCGTGCAGCAAGTGTACATGTACTTCCGAGGAAGTGGAAAGGCGGCAGAGATGAAGCGCGATGCGACAAGGGGCGCTATGAGAGCGGCATTTTGATTGCCACATATCTCAGATGATGATAGGTCTCAAGATTAATTCCATGGATTAGATGGCACCATAAACAAAAGTATATGTTTGCCTTGGCTCTGACTATAATCTTAAGTTGGCATAGGATACTGCTGTGATGAAGTGACATCGTAGGACTTGTCCACTTTTCTCACCGATATAGAGAATGTGCAGTTTTTACAGATTATGATCCGTCCTGAATATAAACGCTGTGTCCTGAGAGAGTAGGTATTAACAAGGTACCGTTGCGACTATATCAATGGTACCCTTGCGATCTGGCCTATTTGTTGCAGCTTTACCAATATATCATTCGGTTTAAAGAAAAAAACAAAGGATTTTCCAACTGTAGGAATTTTCCATGTGGTCTCACCTAATGGTAAGAATATTGGGTAAAGAATCGGGTCTGGACGCATTCCTAAGGAATCACTCTATTTGCCTCTGCCATTCTATGAGTCGCTTCCTTTTTGCGTATGGTACCCCCGCTCCCTTTGGCAACATCTACTAATTTTTGGGATGTTTTTTTTTGAACTTATTTTGGGATGTTTCTAAATAACCAACGAATGGCAAGTGCTCTTACTTGTTTAGATCCTATTTCAGTAACCTTGTGCAGATCCTATTTTTAAAAGTCAAAGATTACAAACTTTGATCATATTTGTAAAGAAAAATAGGTACATCTAAAATACCAAATGCACAATATTGGATACATCATGAGTTACATTTCCATAATGTACATGTTTGGTAGTGTAGATCTAGACAGTTTTCTCTATAAACTTGGTCAAAGTTGGTAAAGTTTGACTTAAAAAAACAATATGTATATACTACATTGTGGAATTCCCTACAAAACAAATGTCATAAATCGTATTTAAAAATCCTACGAACTGAATGACCGTTGCTACATATGGGTGTACGCATTTTGAAATTGAGCGTTGATCATGAATTAGACCACCCAAATGTGGGTTATATGTGACAACAAATATACCGTTGAAATCATATTTGAAAGAAGTTTTCACAAAACTGTATACTATTTGTCTAATTTATTACCAAGGTTGTATTGTGGGATGCGTGCACGCCTTATTCATTGAAATAGGAAGATCAAATGTTTATTAAACAAGCTGGTTACAAAGAGTACACATTTGGACACCAAAAAACAGGTGTTTGGAAGATTTGCATAAATGACCCCAGAATATGATTTTTTTGTTGAAATATGCCCTAGAGGCAATAATATTGTGTTATTATATTTCCTTATTCATAACTAAATGTTTATATTTCATGTTATAACTGCTATGATCCTGGAATATGCAATTCAATGGAAAACTCATATGCATGTGTGAGATGATAAACATATAAAATAAAGGTTTCTAGTCTCGCCTCTAAGACCAGCTCAAGTGTTGTTGGTGATCTATGTTTTCCGGATCTTAGGATATTGTTAAATATAACGATAGTCCTAAGACAACATTGAGATTATGACATTGGAAGAATGATCATATTGAATCGTCCCAAACTTGTTTGTTATGAATTGAGATAATATCGTCTATAATCAATTGTAATAACACAGAGTTTTGACATGTGATTTTGCTCCTTATACCATGAGAATATCGTAGTCACTTCTTACAGTACGGTGGACTTTGGGGTTGCTCAAACGTCACATATAACACGGTGATCATAACGACAACTTACATGTTCATCGGAAAGTTTGACAAGGAACTAGATAGCTCGAGAATGGATTTGCTCCTCCAACGATGGAGAGATATTCTTAGGTCCCTCTCGGTGTGATGGCATCCATCATCATCTTGCCAGACACAGGTGACTTCGTCACGGGGATGCCGGAACACAATAACGAGAAATAAGAACAAAGCTGGCAACGAGGATAACAACATAGTGAGCATGTGATGACTCAGGAGGATACTGATGCATCCCGAGTTTTGTGAAGTATATCGAAGCAAAGGGAACATCACATGATAACCGAAGGTTCATTTGAATATCATTTGTGTGCTCATAGTGATCGATATGGGCGTCCACGGTTCCGCTGTCGGTAATTGAACGAGCGGTTTTGTTCATGTCTATGAGTTACCGAACCTACGGGATCACAAGCTTAAGAAAATCATGATCTGCTAAGTGTTAGTAGGACATGAGTGATGAGAATATATTTGTGGAATTGTTTTATTAATATTCGAAATAGTTTAGAGAGAATCCGGAAGTGTTCGAGGTCACCGGAAGGGTTTCGGGGAGTATCAGGTAATACCGGGTATTACCAATAAGTACATATAGGTGGAAAATGTTTCCGGGGTTGTTAAATGATATATAAAAGGGTATGAAAATATTTAGAACACTTTTGTATTTACTTTAGAATCAAAGAGTCTTAAAAGGCCAAGTGGTGGAGGGCAACTTGGGCCACCAAGGCCCAAGTGGAGGTGGCACCCCCTTTCCTAGGAGGGGAGGCCGAATTGGACTAGGGGGAGGATTCCTCCTCCCCCTCTTGGACGGCGCCCCAAGGAGCGACTTTCTCTCCTTGGTGGCAGCCCCTCCTCTCCCCTCAAACCTATATATACTAGGGGTTTTGCTCTATTGGAACACACAAGTTTGGAGCCTCCTCTAGCTCCTCTAGTTCTAGTTCTAATTGACCCTAGTTGATCTAATTAGAGCTACACAAATCCTCTAATCCTCATAATCAGAAGCAGTGTGGTTCTAATCTCTTCCCTCTAATTCTCCGGTGACGATTAGCTCTGGATCACGAAGTGCTGCCGGAACATGAAGGCTGCATGCTTGCAACCAAGTAGAGAGGTCGTGCTATCGGTCTTCAGTTCGAGTGACTTTTTGTAGGAAGCTCACGGGATCGTTCATCGATGGTTCGGGGGACTCCAAGTACGATCTACACCGACACGTTCTTCTTCCGCTGCAACTCGGTGATGGTAACGATCTGTTGGGAAACGTAGCATGCAATTTCAAAAAATTTCCTACGCTCACGCAAGATCTATCTAAGAGATGTAGCAACAAGAGGGGGAGAGTGTGTCCATGTACTCTCGTAGACTAAAAGCGGAAGCTTTTCACAACGCAGTTGATGCGAACTTCTTCTTGTTCCGACGATCAAGCACCGAACGTACGTCACCTCTGAGTTCTGCACACGTTCAACTCGATGACATCCCTCAAACTCTTGATCCAGCAAAGTGTCGAGGGAGAGTTCCGTCAGCACGACGGAGTGGTGACGGTGGTGGTGAAGTGATCCACGCTGGGCTTCGCCTAAGCACTACGAAGATATGACCAGAGGCGTAAACTGTGGAGGGGGCGCCGCACACGGCTAACAATTGTTGGTGTGTGTTTTAGGCACCCCTCCCCATGTATATATAGGTGGGAGGGGGAGGGGAGATACCTTGGGCGCCCCAAGTAGGAGGAATCCTACTTGGGGGGCCTATTCCAATTCGACCCCCTACCATATTTACCGGGAGGGAAAAGGAAGAAGGGGCAAAAGAAAGGAAGGGGGAGGCCGACTCCCCCTCTTTCCTTCTCCCACTTGGCCGGCGGCCTAGGAGGGGTGCGCCAGCCCCTTGTGGGCTGGTGTGCCCCTTCCCCTTTGTCCCATGTGGCCCATTAACCCCCCGGGGGTTCCAGTAACCCATCCGGTAGTCCGATATGTACCCGATACTCTCCGAAACACTTTCGCTATCCGAATAGTATCGTCCTATATATAAATCTTTACCTCTTGACCATTTCGAGACTCTTTGTCATGTACGTGATCTCATCCGGGACTCTGAACAACATTCAGTCACAAAATCACATAACTCATATAATACAAAATCGTCATCGAACGTTAAGCGTGCGGACCCTACGGGTTCGAGAACTATGTAGACATGACCGAGCCACCTCTCCGGTCAATAACCAACAACGGAACCTGGATGCTCATATTGGATCCTACATATTGTACGAAGATCTTTATCAGTCGTACCGTCATGACAACATACGTTATTCCCTTTGTCATCGGTATGTTACTTGCCCGAGATTTGATCATCGGTATCTTCATACCTAGTTCAATATCGTTACCGGCAAGTCTCTTTACTCGTTCGTAATGCATCATCCCGCAACTAGCTCATTAGTCACATTGCTTGCAAGGCTTCTTATGATGTGCATTACCGAGAGGGCCCAAAGATACCTCTCCAATACTCGGAGTGACAAATCCTAATCTCGATGTATGCCAACCCAACAAACACCTTCGGAGATACCTGTAGAGCATCTTTGTAATCACCCAGTTATGTTGTGACATTTGATAGCACACAAGGTATTCCTCCGGTATCCGGGAGTTGCATAATCTCATATTTGAAGGAATATGTATTTGACATGAAGAAAGCAATAGCAATAAAACTGAACGATCAATATACTAAGCTAACGGATGGGTCTTTTCCATCACATCATTCTCCTAATGATGTGATCCCGTTCATCAAATGACAACACATGTCTATGGTTAGGAAACTTAACCATCTTTGATTAACGAGCTAGTCTAGTAGAGGCTTACTAGGGACACGGTGTTTTGTCTATGTATCCACACATGCATCAAGTTTTCGGTTAATATTATTCTAGCATGAATAATAAACATTTATCATGATATAAGGAAATATAAAATAACAAATTTATTATTGCCTCTAGGGCATATTTCTTTCAGTCTCCCACTTGAACTAGAGTCAATAATCTAGATTACATAGTAATCATTCTAACACCCATGGAGTCTTGGTGCTGATTATGTTTTGCTCATGGGAGAGGCTTAGTCAATGGGTTTGCAACATTCAGATCCGTCTGTATTTTGAAAATCTCTATGTCTCCCTCCTTGACTTGATCACGAACGAAGTTGAAGCGTCTCTTGATGTGTTTGGTTCTTTTGTGAAATCTGGATTCCTTCGCCAAGGCAATTGCTCTAGTATTTTCACAAAAAGAGTTACATTGGACCCGATGCACTAGGTATTACACCTAGATCGGATATGAACTCCTTCATCCAGACTCCTTCA